CTGCAATCTGCATTTGGGGTAAAATTGGGAGTTCATAACCCACTTCAATCTAATGTATGAAATATGATATGTCAAGAGCTTTGTAATGTTGTGAAAAAACAATAAAAAAATGTTTACTGAAGTAAAAAAATAAAAGTCTATCTAGCAGACTCAGCTAACAGCTGGAATTGCTAAAAGTGAAAATTATTTCAGAGCGGCCAAAGTTCTTTCTCCGTCCTGTTCTCTAGGTTTTCACAAAGGAAGGTCAGCCAGCAGGCAGCTTCTCCATGAGACATACCCACTACTTCTCTGACCTAAGCCCAGTTTTCTAAGGAGAGGAGGCTTGCGGAAGGTCAAGGACCAGACCATCGCGGTCAAGGGGCGCGGTCCAGGCACACTTGCCCCTGAGTTTCCTCCAGGGTTCTCTTTCCCACAGATGGCACGGAGCCTCCCAGCCGAGAGCTGGCGGGAGTCCGAACCCACTCGGTAGGGAGGGAGAGGGAGCCAGGGCAGCGAGGTTACCTCAGGGCCGCGGAATCGCCCGGGACAGCACTGCTCACGGCTGCCCCAAGTCCTCTTCGGAAACCGAGTACCCGGAACAGCTCCACGTGCCAAAGGGAGAAAGCGCCACACTCGCGAGGCCAGCGCCATGACCTACACGTCCCCGGCCTAGCCCTTGATGTCAGGCCGCCACGGACCCGCCTAGGACGGAGCAAAGAACACCTCAGTCTTCCCACAGAGAAATGCCACCCCGATCCCCGCTTCCTGGCCAGTGCCTCTCAGTTCTCACCGCTTCCGATCCACGACTTCCGGGGGCGGGAGAGATCCCGAGTGGGTGGGGCTTCGTGGGCCTGCTGCGCCTGTGCCCAGTGGGCTTGGGCAGTGAGTGACAGCGCGCGAGCCGAGCCGTGGGGCGAGCTAGTCAGCCAACCCTCCACTGGCTCCTGAGTGCTTTCGGCTCCGCGCTCTTTCTTGGTTTTGGTAAAAGGATAGATCACCAGAACAGAACTGAAGGCTTTGAAATAGACCCGAGAATAGGTGTGTGGAAGAAAAAAAACAAAATCAAAAGTCGGTGACGCCTGGCATTAAGAGGTTCTTTTTGGAAATAAATACGTGGAATGAATCCGCCCACATAAGAAAGTGAAAGGAAAAGAATGAGAAACTGGAGGGAAAGACTCAAGAGGGGAAGTGAGAAGCCAAAGAAAAGAAATGAAACCCTTAAAGCATGAGCTGGTCTTAGACTATGAAGAAGAGGACTCTAAACAAGATGCTGGTGCTGGACTGGGGAAAGTTCAGTGCGAGAGCGCTTACCTAGAATGGAGGAGAGACTCCCGGTTCTGTCCCCAGTATCGTCAAACAATAAAATCAGCACTGCTGTATGGTATGGGATATGTAGCATAAAACCTGGTCTCTCCTCAAAATCTTCACTAGGTCAGTGTTTCTCACCAGAGTAGAATTCTTACAAAGGGAATAAGTAAATTTTGAGCCCAACCTCAAGGCCCTTGTGGGTGAAAAACACAGGCTGCAAATGGAGTACTACTGGATGGAGTACTTGAGAAAATCGTCAATAAGAGAAGGTAGTCATAGTTTTAAAAAAAGTAGCTTGTATTTATATGGTACTTTTCATACTACACAGTGAATTAAGACACATTTCCTTTGATGTTCCCAATTGTGAAATAATGGGCATCCCAGGTTGCCAAATGAGAAAAAGTATGGCTTAAAATTTTGTTAACGAAATCACTTTTCCTATTTTTTTTTAAATTTTTTTTTGATGCGGAAGGATCCAGATCAAGGTGCACATACTACTAGGCTGGCACTCTGCCATTGAGCTGTGAGCTACATCTCCAACCCTTCAGTGCTCTTCCCAGTGTATGATTGCTGCCTTCACTGCTTCGTGGGTATTGAGGATTTCATCAGTGATATCTCTATTTTCTTTGCTTCTGAAGTATATTTTTAAAAATATGTACATCTTCCCAACTTCTGAAATCTATAGTCTTTTTACCAGAGGGGAACGAGTTTTATTGTATTTTAGATTTTCTACCAATGACAACCGCAATATTGTTAAACAACATGTTTACACTATTGGATTCCATGATAAACCTGAAATTCATTTTCTGGTATCTCTGCTGTAGTGATTTGTGAGTGTGTGATGCTGAGGACGGAATCCTCACATGGTAGTAAATTTTTAATTACAATTTTCACTTAGAAAATAATTAAATCCTTAGGAAAGTTGCAGGAACTGACATATACTCTTCACTTATATTCAGCCATTGTTGATTTTCTCACATTTGCTCTTTCTTGAGATATATTCCATGTAATATGCATATTATGTTCCTATTATATTCTGTTAAACCTTTTGAGTATAGAGTGCATGTATCATGATTCTTTTCTCTTAGAAACAGACATTCTCAGTATAATTATCAAATTCAAGAAATTGAAATTGACAGAATATTATTATTATACAAACAAGTTTTACTGGTGTCCCAATGTTGTTTGAACTCTTTTTCCTCAATTGGAGATCAAACCTGGATTATGAATTTTATTTAATTTTAATTTTTTTAGTTTCATTAAATGTGTAGTATTTCCTCAGCCTTTATTTTCACTTAAATATTTTCAAAATGTATAGTCCCATTGTTTCATAGCAGAATTGCTCAACCTTGGCAATACTGACATTTTGGGGATAATTTTTGTTGTTGTGGAGGCTTTCCTGTGCATTGTAAGGTGTTTAATAACAATCCATCTTCTACCAGTTGCATCTTCTCCCAGTTTGACAATGAAAACTATCTCCCAACAGAGCAAAATGTTCCTGAGGGTAGAGTTACCAGATTAAAAAAAAATACAAGACATTGTATACATTTTTAATTTCAGATAAACAACGATCTTTTTTTTTTTTTTGCAGTATGGGAGATCAAACCCAGGATATTAAATATGCTAGGCAAGAGCTTTACCACTAAGCTATATCCCCAGCCCTCACAAATAATTTTTAGTATAAGACATACTTATATTGAAAAATTATTTGTGGTCTATCTGAAATTTAGATTTAGCTAGGCATTCTATGGCAACCCTACTCCATTTGCCATTATTGAGAATCATTGGTATTTAGCCTGTGTTTAAATCTGGGCTTGGTTGATTACTTCCAAATGATTCTCATGATTCAATTTAGGTCGTGCACTTTTTGTAGGAACATTAAGTGGTATATCCTCTCCATGGCATCACATAATGAAGTTTTGGATGTGATTTTGCCCTATTATTGGCACATGGGATTTTCCCCCATTATTTTTGTGCTGGGGATTGAACTCAGGGTCTCATGAATACTAAGCATGCCTCTGAGATCCTACATTATTTGGTCTCCATCTCATCCCTGACCTTACTCTTACTATTCCTCTCCTTGCTCACTTCACTCCATCTATGCAGGATTTTATTTCATAGAAAATGAAAGGACAGACCTTTGCACTTTCCTTTTCCTCTACATGCAAAGCTCTGTCCCTAAATATCCTCATCTTCCCAGCCTGAAATGGGATCTTATTAAAAGGTACAACAGAAGAACTGGAAGTATAGCTCAGTGGTATAGTTCTGCCTAGCATGTACAATACCCTGGCTTCAATTCCCAGCACTGACAAAACAAACAAAAAATAGTTTAAATAAAGCATTTTGTTTTCCTGCTTTAAGTCTTTGGCTGCTGTTTTCCTAGCTTACAAAATCTATGCTATCTGCTATCTTGCTCTTGTTTGTTTAGCCTTCTATCCCTGCCCTTTTCTTTCATCCAGGCCTCAGGCCTCCTACATGATATTCTTTCTGCCAGAAATCCTACCCATTCCACTACCTGATAACTTCTCCCTCCCCCAACTATGCAATATTTAATTAATCTGTATTTGTCCTTTAGCTCTCAGCTTAAATGTCACTTGCTCAGAGAAACTTCTCTTGATTTCTCTTAATATACTCTCATTTCCTTTATGGCCTTAAGTACATTTTATAATTTCACTTTTATCTTTGTGAATATTCATTAATCTGAAGTGTAAATTTGGAGGTAATGTGCACTTTCACTACACTGTAAACTTGATGACCATGCCTGATATTTTTGTTGTTGTTCTTAACAGTTCCTGTCACAATTCCTCCATTTGTTCAACAAATATTCACCGTGTAGCTGTGATATCCTTCTTAGTCTTTTAGATGTAACAAACAGAATAATTCCTAATGGAGAATATATTCTAGTTGAGGAAACACAGTCAGTAAATAAAATAAATAATAAAAGATGTAATATGTTAGATGGCAATAAATGCTAATGAGAAAAATAAAGTAGAAGGGGTATAAAGTATATTCCCATGTAGGTAGTGGAATTTTATTTTACTTTTTTTTCCTCAGTGTTGGGGATTGAACTCAGGGCCTCACATATTCTGTACCATTGAGCTACATCCCCCAGCCCAGGCATTGCAATTTGGATTAAGGTGATGGCCAAAGAAGATCTCACAAAGGAGAACTTTGAATAAAAACTCAAAGAAGAATTAAGCCATGAAGATATTTAGGGAAAGAGCTTTGCGTGTAGAGGAAAAGGAAAGTGCAAAGGTCTGTCCTTTCATTTTCCATGAAAGTAAATCCTGCATAGATGGAGTAAAGTGAGCAAGGAGAGGAGGTCAGAGATGAGATGGGGGCCAAGTAATGTAGGACCTCAGAGGTAATTGCAAGAGTTCAATGATAGAATGTATGCTTAGTATGCATGAATTAATAGGTAAGGACAAATTAATGAGTGAGAACAAATATGGAAAGGAATTTAGACACTGAAAAGAATGAATAAGTACACTGAATACTATGGCACTGTGTGGTCAAATGATAGATTCCTTTTTTGGATACTAAAAGTGCAATACCATCTCCTTGTCTCTACTCTGTCTCCGCTTTAGTGAAGACAAAATTTGGGAAGGTTATGTGTGGATACTATGTATTCTGAGAAATATAGAAATTTCCAATTTGTGTCTGGGGACCTTCAATTAAACAGAGGAACAGGATAAGAAAATAAAACCAGCTACCTTTAGTTACAACCACCACCAAAAAAACAAACAAACCCACCTATCCCCTCCCACCTCTCCACTCTAGCCACAAAGAAGTTGTTTCTGTGCTTGAAATTTGCTAAGTTTGTTCCTGTCTTTGTCCTAATATTCTTCTATTCACAGATCTTTGCATAATTGGTTCCTTCTTTTCTTCTTCCCTCCATTTCTCCTTTTCTTTCCTGTTCTCATTCCTTCCTTCTTCTCTTTCTTTTCCACTCTCTCTCTTTCATTCTTCCTCTCTTTTTTTCTTCCTCCATCCTTCCTCTCCTATACTCCCCCCTCTCCCCTCATGGCTTCCTTTCCCTTCCCTTCTCTTCCCTCCCTTAATTCCCCTTATCTCTTTTTCTCATTGTACTAGGGATATAATCCCAGGCCATGTGCATGGTAGGCAAGCATTCTACCATTGAGCTATACCTCAGCCCTTTTAATTAATTAATTTTTATTTTGAGACAAGATCTCACTAAATTCCTCATTCTGACCTTGAATTTGGCAATCCTCCCGCCTCAACTTTCAGACTAGGCCACTATGCCAGCCTTTCTATTTTTCAAGTCTCTAATCAAATAACACTACCTTAGAGAGGGCTTCCCTGATCTCCGGTCTAAGTAAGTTCCCATTATTATCCTTACATCTTTCACAACAGCCTGTATAACTTTCATTCATAACACTTAGTATTGAGATGTCTTTTGTTTTTAATGATTATTATTTGTCCCTCATCTGGGATAGAAGAGCCTTTCTTGCTCACAG